GATAAAGCTACCTTTGACAATGCTGCATGTTGTCACCATGACATTTGGTCACCCTTCTTTTTTCACTCACCTGGCTCGCTGCTGAATAGGAATGTAACAATGAGATTTAATAGAGGATCAATAGCTACACTCCAATGATACATGCACTTCCAGAATGAATGCTGATGAATGAAAACAAACCCCTGCATAGCATATTTGTAGTTCGCACACTGTCTGTAATAGCTGTGCCGGTTTTGTTTCAGTCCAATTTTTCCACCTGTGTGTTTTTCATTCTCTCTATCCTTACAATCATTTAAAGGTTATATGCATGATTTAATCAAGGCTATGACGGTAATTTCAGCCCAACCTGTTGTGTATTTATGAAGAGCGTGTGTGTGTGTGTGCTCGCGTCTGTGTGATCTCATGTCAACGAATTGTTTGCATTTCATTCAGTGGATATACTATGTATAATAAATACTGAAAATGAACTGATCTTTACCACATGTCTGTGGTGTATACTAAGTTATGTTTCTGGTATGTACGTTCAGTGTTTGTACTGTGTGCACGGATTTGTGACTGGGATGTACCGGTGTGATTTATTTGTCTTTTTGAATTTAGTTAATATACATGAATTGTTTACTGTACACGTTGAATGCACTGTATTGGTCTGGAGTCCTGCTATGCATATGTGTGTGAAGGCATGCAGGTGTAACTATATATATATATATATATATATATAACACACTGCATCCTCTAGCCTGCTGTTGTTTGATAGTCAGATCAATGCATTGTGGTGTCTGGGCACTGGGCCCTGTGTCTGGGCCCCTGTGTGACTGATACCTCGAATGCACAGTGTATATATAAAACACACTGCATCCTCTAGCCTGCTGTTGTTTGATAGTCAGATCAATGCATTGTGGTGTCTGGGCACTGGGCCTTGTGTCTGGGCCCCTGTGTGACTGATACCTCGAATGCACAGTGTTTAAACATCTCTCCACGTGTTTCTCTTTTGATCAGCGTCTGCCATTCTTACTGATTTTCCATATCACTGATGCTTGTCAAGGAATTAATTACCTGGATCATTGCTCCACTGACTCCAGCGCCAGCTGCAGGGTTCACCAGAGAGACCTTGGCATTCTCCCAGCATTCCCAGCTAATCACCCACAATCCATTTCAAAGTCAACCTGATTGGTCTGCTATCCAGAGAATAATGTGGAATTAGACTGCATCCTGACACTAACAATTTAATATTTGCATACAGTATATGGCAGATTAGCTTGCAGGAGCCTGCCAGCGGGAGGTGAATATCAGCATCAGCGCCAGTGCTAATGGCAGTTGCCTCCTACACTTTATTAGAAAAGTAATGGTGTAAAGCACAGTGCATCCTTACTGTTATTAGCTGACGTGGAATGCAATGTGTTCATTAATCATGGGTGATGAACATTCCAATCTGCACAGCTTTTTCAGAAGGTGAGAAGAGGGAATGATTTATCTGAAGTGATCCTAGAAATTTAGTGCTTAATATTGGAACTGCATTTTTAGTAAGAGGGACGCCTAAATGTGTGGTACTTGTAGACTGCAGATGTGTGAATGCCACAAAATAGACACAACATATTTAAGATGGGTACGCCTTCAGGGTAAATCTGGCCATGCACCTTGCTGTGATGATACATAGGCGGAGAGGCTATAAATACACCCAGTGTGCTTGTTGGTTTGTCTGTTGGCCTGTCCGTCTGCCTGCTTGCTGGAATGTCTGCGAGGTTGCAGCAGCATGACGTCAGCCGGGCTCAGAGCACTCGTTGACCTCTGTCACAGCAAGAGGAGTGCAATACACTCCAGACAGCCATAAAAACGTGCTGACGATGCAGGTAGGGCATACACACAGAGACCTGAGTGCAGAAGGAGACATGTAACAACATGTTGCAGTACAGTCAGGGGTGGACTATCAGAGAGCAGTACAGACAGGCTGGATGGTGGAGAGCAAGGCTCACAGAGATCTGTGCTGACAGGTTATACAAAAATGGAAATCACTTAACGAAGAGGAATATTATTCAGAGAGAGAGAGAGACATAAATAAAACAGAGTTTCTCTTGATAATGTGCACTTACAGTATAGCCACCTTCAAACACAAAAACACACACTAGGACTGGATAAAAATATAGATTTTACAATTAATCATTACTTTTCTTTGAATGTTAATTCTTAAAATCCCCTAGAGAAAGTTTTGCATTTGCAGGTTGTGTGTCTGTGCTAAGTATCATGTATGCAGAGGTTTCTTGTAAGTGGTGCAGTTTGGATTGCATCATATATAAAATGTCTCCTTTGTGGGTAAGGAATTGTTACAACATGGACAGAAAGGTTATTTTATAACCAGGAAGTGTGTTTACTATTTAGCCTGTGAACCTTACAAAGTGTTATAGTTAAGGAAACAACCGTCTTGGTCAC